TCTGTGGCCAGATGGGAGCTGGACCATGGGGCCTGCCCCAGGATGGGGGATGGGGACAGGACACAGCAGCCAGATTGGGGGCTGGACCCTTACTGGGTCCTTGCTGACCAGGCTTCATTTCAAATCAAGTAAAATATTATGTCCAACATAAAAAGGTTTCAACATTGTCTTTATTTATGGCAGGGGTGATTAATCTTTTTTGGGTCAGGAGCCATTGACGCACAGAAAAAAATCAGTTAGGGACAACACAAGTGAGAAGGAACAATAAACCCCTCCAAAAAACCCCAACCCTCACTGATGTGGCCCCCAATTGAAACACCTCACTCCCCTGGTGCTCCAGCCCCATGTGGGGGGAGGACTGAGGTTCAAGGCCTTAAAGCAAATTACCTCTTCTGGGATTCCAGGGTTAGTGGATTTTGTGCGCCCCCTAGGCTCTAGGGTGGGGCCAAAAATGAAAGGTTCAGTGTATGGGACAGGGTGCTGGTCAGTGGGATAAAGATGAGGGTGCAGGATCTGGGCAGGAGATGGGGTACAGAAGGGGCTGAGGGTACAAGGTAGCATTCAAGAGCAGGCTGGGGGTAGGGTGTCTCACTGAGGGGACAGGAGTAGGGTAGGGTACAGGAGTGGGCTGGGAACAGGGTATCTGGCCAAGAGGGAGGGGGCAAGAGCAGACTGGGGGCAGGGTGTCTGGCCAGGGAACAGGGGGCAAGAGCGGGCTGGGGGTGAGTGGTTTCCACAGGAGGTGTGAGTGAGGAAGTTGGGAGTGCAGGATCTGCACACAAGGTGGTCTTCACTTGTCTTCAGGCCCCAGGCCAGTCTCAGGCTAGGCCTCCCACTGCTCCCATTAGCTGGAATCTGGCCAATGGAAGCAACAGGGAAAGCCTCCAGACAGCACGCTGGTGCTTCTTCCCCACGCAGTGAGGCTCAGGGCTTTCTCTCCTCCACCCCACACCTCCCCCTGCAGGGGGAAGCAAGCACTGGTGCTCCAACCATGCAGGGGAGGAAGGAGGGAGATGCTGCAGTGCCAGGCAGAGGGGGCCTGGGCTGCTCAGGTCAATGCCGCTGGGCACCTCCTCACCCACTTCACAGAAGCGCCACTCACTGCTGTAGCCCTTGTAAAAAAAATATATTGTCCCTACATACATATGTTCTAAGGCCAGAAAGAATCGTTGTGATCATCTAGTCTGATCTCCTACAAAACACAGGTCACAGAACCTCCCAAAAATAATTTCTAAAGATCATTTAGAAAAACATCCAACCTTGATTTTACAATTGCTACTGATGGAGAATCCATCACAACTTTTGGTAAACTATTCTAATGGTTAATTTCTTCTGCTGTTTAAAAACGTACACCATAATTCCAGTTGAAACTGACCAGCGGCTGACTCCAGGAAGCCAGGGGCAGAGCAGCTCTGCCTTGGGCTTGCTGGGGTGCTGCCGGGTTGGTCCAGTAGCGCCGCTCCTCGGCGCTGTGGGACCAACCCGGCAGCCCCCCAGCTGCTCTGCCCCAGGCATCCTGGTTCAGCCGCTGCCACCCCCAGAGCAGCACGAGG